TCGTCCCGTCCCCTCCCGCCTCTCCGCCCCTGCCCTTTCTCTCCCGGCCTGTCTCCGCCCCTTCGCCTCTTGTGCTCCCGTTCTTTCTTTTCTGTCCTGCCCTTCCCCCCCCCCCCCTGTCCTCCCTTCTGGCTTCCTTCCCCCTCCCCTGCCCTCTTGCCCGCCTTTTCTTCTTTTCCTCTTGCTGCTTCTGGCCTCCCGCTTCCGCCCCCTCCCCTCTCCTCTCTCTCCCTCTTCGCCTCTCCTGCCCCCGTCTCCTCGTCGGGTGTTCCCCGCCTCCCTTGCCTCGTCTCCTTCCCTCGCCCCCCCTGCCCGGGTTTCCTGCGCCTTGCCCCCCCCTCCGCTTGGTTCCGTCCCCTCCCTCCCCCGTCTGGGGCCGCCTGCTGCTCTGCCTGCTGTCCCGCGGCCCGTCCTTGCCCCCCTCCCTCCGGCGGGTCCGCCCCCCCCCGCCCTTTCTCCCCGCGCCCGCTGTTCCCCGCGTGCCGTTTCCCCGCCCCTCCCCCCCCCGTCTGTTGGCCGGGGGCCCTGTGGCCGGCCCCGCTGCCCCCCCCCGCGCGCTGCCCGCCGCCTTCCCCGCCTTGTGCCGCCGCGTCGCTTCCCGCCTTTGGGGGCGCTTCCCCGCCCGTGGCCTGCCGCTGGCGTCCCGGTCTCCCCCGTCCCTGTTCCCCGCCGTGTCCGGGCCCTGGGCTCCCCTCGCCGTCTTCCCCTGGTCCCGCCCCTTCTGCCCTCCCGCCCCCGGCCGCGGCGTCTGCCTTGGGCTCCGGCCCCGCCGCCCTGGCCCGTTGCCCCGTGGTCCCCCGTCCTCTTTTCCGCCGCCCGCCCGTTTTGTCTTTCCTTTGGCCGTCCCGGCGCCCGCGTCTGGCGCCCGGCTGGCGCGGCGCCCCCTCCCCGTTGCTTGCCCTCCCGTGTGCCGTTCCCCCCGTCCGCGCTGGTTTGGGGCGCCCTGTCCGCTGCTGGTGTTGGTCCCCTGTGTTTCCTCCCGCCCCGCGTCCCTGCCGCTGTGTCCCCCGCGCTTTTCGCGCCCTCCCTGCTTCCGTCTGCTGCCCCGCTCTCTGGCGCTGCGGCCTTCCTTTTCCCGCCTGCTCTGGCCCCTGCCCCCCGTGCCCCCCCCCCCCGTCCCTGGTGTCCTGCCCCTGGCCTTCCTGTCCTCGCTTGGCCTGCCCCTTCCCCTGCCCTGCCCCCCCTCGCGCCTCTGTGGGGTCTTGTGCCGCCGCCGCTGCCCGCCCCCCGCCCCCCCCCTGCTCCTGCGCTCCCGGCCGCTCTTGCCGCCTCCTGGGCCTCCCTCCCCCCTCCGCCCTGCCCCCGGCTGCTTGCCTCCCTGCCCCGCCGCCTTGCTGCCGTCCTCCGTGCCCCCGGCTTCCCCCCCCCGTCCTGCGTGCCTTCC